TAATGCCATTTAAGAAATATCAGCAGATGACTAACAGAGTATGACTGGCATACCTACACCAGCCCTGCTGAGCTCAGAACATTTCTCAGGCACTTCTCAGGCACTTCCTGAGCCTCTTGCTGCTTACCTTCCAGAGCTGGAGCTCATTTCCTGCTGCCTGCAGCCCTCTGGGCTCACTCCCCCTATAAAAATACCATTGTGTTTCAAGCAAGCCGAAGCTGAGGGAGTGCTGCTGGCCCCATAAATGGCTGGAATGAGGTGGGAGAAGTCACAGCTCTGTGGGTAAGAGCAGACATCCTGTGATACTGAGCAGCATCCCCAGCTCTTCCCCAAGGAAACCTTCACCAAACACCAGCAAACAGCTCCTGGGAGAAGGCCAAGGTGCTAACACAGCGATTGTGGCTTTTGCATCCCAGCAAATACCTGTGCTTATTCCTGGCTGCACCAATACCCTGCTCAGGCACTGGAAAGTGCTGATTTTGCCAGCACCAGTGTTACAGCCACCCGAACACCCAGCAGGGATGGTCAGAGTGGGGACAAGGAAAGAGGCTGTGCCAGGTGTCCTAAGACCCATTGCTCCCTGATGGCTGCCAGAGATGATGGACAGAGACCAAGGAGTAAACAGAGGAATTAAAGAGCAGCTGACATGAGCAGTCAAGGAGGAAAAGCTCAGTTCAGGTCATATCTAGAGGAAACCTGTAAAAAATTCAATGCATCTGGCAGTGAAAATTAAATATACTCAGAAAATTGGCCCCCTCTTATGTTTCCCAGTTGAAACTCTTGCCACATCTGACCAGAGCTCCTGAGCAGCAATGACATCTGGCATTTTTCAGCTGTTTTCCAAAGCTGCTTCACTGAGCAGGGCCAGCCCTGGTCAAGTTCTGGTCCTTGCTGTAACCACCAGCCCTGGGGATCCCCAGCTCTGAGGAGATCCAAAATATGAAGGGGTGGTGCTGCCTGCACTTTGATTGAAACCAATTGCCCAAATCGTGCCCAAGTCTCAGTGGGAGGATAAAGGTGGATCAAGGGGTTCATCCCTTCCTCACTGCCCAGGAGGAGATGTTCCCCTTGCCCCCTCTCCATCCTCCACCTTCTCACACACCTATTTACAGCTTCCTGCAGGGATTTAGCACCAGTAGAGCCCCTTCCAGCTCACAGCCTGTCCTCAGCAGGTGCTGGTGAGGATTGTGAATGTGCCTCCAGCTCCAGGTCTCTCCAGAGCTGCAGCATCACTCCCTTCTCCCCCAGGGACCCACCCAGGGTGCTGGGGACAGGCCAGCTCTGTCATTGCCTGGCAGGGCATCCTCCAGGTCCTTTACACAAGGCACAGCTCTGATGGGAGGGAAATAAGTGTCCCCAAGGTGCTGTTTAGGGAAAATGGTGACAGTCTGGTGCAGGGATGGGTGGGAGGGTTGCAGTAACTGCAGTGGGGGGATGCTCTTACTGATGCCACCACTGCCAAGAGAGGGCCAGACCTGTCCCCAAGGCTGAATGCCAGTGCCAAGCTTCCCCATTAGAATGTACCCCTGGCTTCAGATGGATGCTGAAATCCTGAAGCTCCTGAGACAGATGGGGAGAAGGGAAAATCAGAAAAATCCTTCCATCTATGAAAAGAAATGAAAAATAACTCTGTGACCCTCTCCAAGGCTGAAGGCTCCTCTGGAGGTCCCAGGTGTGCCCCATCAGGCATGCCAACTCCATGGGCTGTCCTGTTGAGGGCTGGGAGCTGCCAGGGCAACACTGTGGGCATGGCTGGGGCTCAGCACCACCACTGCTGAGTGAGCTCCCCCACTGCTTTGCAAGGGAACAAACATCCCAGTGTCCCTGGGGAGGGTTTGGCCACCACTTTGCCATCTGCAGGATGGTGCATCCCAGCTGCTGTGCCCACCCTGCTGCCCAGCCCCAGCCCAACCCTACAGAGCTGCCAGGGAAGCCAGGCACTGCCCAGTCCCCATCCCACCAAGCCTTCCTCAACTCTATTTGGATAACTTTTTCACCCATTTCATTTATGAGGACTCCCCTCCTTCTGCCAACACTCTGAGTTTCCTCTCACTTTAGTCTGGGAGGCCCATCTTGCTTTTTTATTCTCATTATTTCTCTCTCCCCCTTGCCTGGCCCCAGGCTTGCAGCAGGTGCTGGCCAGAGCTGCTTTTGTTGGGCCATGGGAGCAGATGGGGAGAGCAGCCACAGGTGGGATGGGCAGTGATTCCTCCCCAGCCACCCCACAGCACCTGGCTCTGCCTGCACTTGCCCTGCACTCAGCACGTGGCTCACTTACTGACTTCAGACTGAAAAGTTAAAACAAAAACAACTTTAAAAATTGTAATTAATAAAAATAATTTTTTAAAAAATTCAGGAGAAAATTACTGTCAGAAATTATTACGTGCATGTGTCTAAGGTCACTGATGTGCCAGGGCTGCTCACATTAGAGCCAGCTGGAAGTGGGCGGAATAACTTCATCTTAAGTGATTAAAGAACTTGTTCAGCTCCTCCTGTTGCATGTGCCAGGCAAAGCTGGTTGCTCACTGGCTTTGCATTTTGGGGCAAACTGGATGCAGGCACCCTGGGTGTGGGGACAGCCAGAGCTGGCCACCCTGCACCACCACATCTCCCAGGCTGGAGGGAGCTTCCCTTGAACCTCCCCTGCTCCTGCAAATGAGGCGCAGGTCAGTCCCTGGCAGCTGGGTGGGTCAGGAGCCATCTCCCACCAGCAGCAGGGGCTGCAGCCTGGGGGATGCTCAGCACTGGCTCCTCCTGGGCCAGTTCCCACTCCAGGATCCAACCCTGTGCCCATCTCAGAGGAACCAATCCTTCCTTTCACCAGCTCACATGTGTCCTTCACCACACAGCTCCTTGCACTTTGTCCAAGCAGCACCAGCTGACACAAAGACACAGCCTGCACTAAACAGAACAAAACCTGGACAGTTTTCTGGGCATTTTCCTGCTGCTGGCTCCTGCAGCTCAGAGGCAGGAGTGAACAGAGCTCCTCCAGAGACCTGGCTGCTGCAGGCTGGGGATGCACAACTGGCTAAAAGCAGGCTAAAACTCAGCATTCTGTAACTGCTTGATCACCACTGCCTGCTCCAGTGACACCACAGCAGATCCTGTATAATTCCTACACATTTCCATTGCTGTAGACATGGCTGTAGACAAAATGCTGACATGGCCTGTGTCTGGCCATGGCTCACTCTGGGGTCATGTTACCTGAAATAAAGTGATCTGCAGGGTACTAAAGTGCTGGGGGCTGGGGCAAGGAGACACATGAATGCCACAGCAGAGGTGGGTTAGGGCTGGATGTGACACCTGTGGGAGGCTGCAGGCCTGGATCAAGGGAAGCAATCACCCGAAGAGAGGCCATGAGCAAAGTGCAAGAAGGTGGTCTGGGAGTCCCACAAAGCCCTCCTGGGACCTGGGTTTGCACACACAGTCCTTGGAAAGTGAGCTGGGCAGGGGCTGCACACTTGTAGAAGACAAGAGGAGCAGGACATGAAAAATAGAGTGAGGAAAGCAAGGTAGTATGATGGGGAGCCCCATGGAGTGTGATGAAAAGCCAGAGGAAGCGATGGAGAGCCCTTGAGAGTGATGGAGAGCCATGAGGATCTGATGGAGAGCCACGAGGAAGTGCTGGAGCACCATGAGGATGTGATGGAGAACCTCTTAACTGTGAGACCTCACCTGCTGGGACCTCACTCCCCAGCCTGGCCATGCCCAGGGAAGCAGGGTCCCCAGAACACAGGGGACCAAACCAGCTGTGTGGGGATGCTGCCACACAGGCACAGTTGGCCCATCCTGAGGATAACCATGGGCTGATGTCAGCCTGGACAAGGCCACTTGTCCCCTGGGGTCCACCTGCATTTGTTGGCAGCTTGCATCTGTCAGAGCCAAGGAGCACAACACGGGGCTGCTCCACCCTGGGAGCACAGACACAGGCCTGGCAGGCATCTCGCTCTGCCCAGGTGACCAGGCAGCATTGTGCCACCTGATGCTGTGCCCTGCAGAGGCTGGAGGCTGCTGCTTGTCCAGGCACTCCACTCCTTGCTGGGAAAGCTGCCCAGCCATGGCACCGGCCCTCAGCGGGAGCACAGCGCTGGCAGGTGCCCGCTGTGCCCACTCACAGCCCGGGCATGCCACGGGCCACCTGCAGCCTGTGTGTCCTAGGGCAGCACTTCACCTCCTGTAAACTGCTGCCACTTCTGCTGCGATCCCAGCAGCAGCAGCAGCCCCTCTGCCAGCACGTGGGGCCACTCTGCTCCCTCAGGCACGTGCCTTCCTCTTTGGGTCAAGCAGCGTGAAAGCGAGAAAACACGCACATAGAGGATTTCCATCACATCCAAATCAGCCAGAACCCTTCTCCTGCCTCCACCTCCAGCCTTGCCTGAGGCAGGGGGGGCACGGTGGGGCTGGGGGCTGCTGCTGGCCGCTGGCAGCCCCGCTCCCCGAGCCACGGCAGGCCGGCAGCGCGGGCGCTGGGAACGCTGTACTCACCATATGGAGCCTCCATCTTAGCGCTTAGCTGGGTGCCTACATTGACCATGTCTCGCCGGCTACCGCTATGGGGACTTGGGGCGAAAACCACAGGAAGTAGAGGAATAAAAAAGAAATGTAAATAAATAAATAAAAAAATGTCTCTCACTAAGGAACTAGGTGAAGGCAGGAGGGAGCGCGGAGAGGCAGGGCGAGGAAACCTGCCTCTCCTGTTATCTTATTGATTCGCTTAATCAGGGCTAATGTGGGTGGAGATGTTAAATAGTAACCAAGCTCTTATGGAAACCAATCTGCAAGGTGCCGTTGCTGTAGCTATAGTAACTGCTGCCAAGCTAGAAACTCAAACACGGCTTTTACTGGACTCTTTTGGGGCTCCCGCTTGCAGATGGTGTCAAGGCCGGGGCAGCCGCCAGGCTGGGGTTCACCCCTGGCCACGGGGAGTGGGGGCAGCCACATCCAGCTCTGCAGTGCCCCACGTGCTGCTGGGTTTGTGCCATCACCTGCCCGAGGTGGGAAAACCAGGTATGAGACTGTGTACTGCAAAGGGAAAACACGGCATGGGGGGCAAGGGGCTGTGGGACAAGTGTAGGGACTGGCAAGGGCACAGCAGAGCCTGCCTGAGGCACGAGGGGAAAAATGCCCAGGCCACGAGTCGGGGTTTGTCTGCCTGGTGCCAAACCAGAGAGGTTGCCTGGGGATGCTGTGGTGGATGCAGGGTGATACTCTGAGCACAGGGTGCTTGCAGCTCGTCCCTGTCTCTCTCTGTTCCCCAAATCTCAAGGTGCCACAGCCACTTATGGTCATCTGTGTTCCCTCTGGGACTGCTGCATCCAGGACCTCATGGTAGCAGATGTGCAGATGGGCTCCCCATGAGACTGTGGCAGCCCCTGTGCCAGTGGGGGCTCCATGTCAGGAGCAGTCTGGGCTGCCAGGGGCTGTGCTGATGCCAGCAGGGCCATGTGCAACAAGTGTTGCTGAGAGGACACCAAGGACGTGGGGAATCCAGAGCTGAAGCTGAAAAAATGATTATCCATCAGCACAGAGCCTTCCATATCTCCTGTACATCGCAGGAAGAGACCAGGCTGGAGGAAGCACAGAGGGGTCCAGTCTTAGGATCCCCTCAACACCTCAGCTATTGAAAGCCTGCAGCCCTGAGGGGGCCAAATTAGGGATATCTGCTCCTCCGGAATGGAAAAGCACATCCCAAGGGAGCATGCAGTGAAGAGAGTGCTGCTGGACGCAGAAGTCTGCAGCACGGGAATCCACAGCTGGATGCTCAGATCCAAGGACTTGTAATTCAGGAATCCCTGAGTTTTCTGAGTGCTGAGAGGTTCTGGAGAGGGAGGGGTGTGGATATTGGGGTGCTCAGTGGCACTGTGGGTGAGGTAGAGCAGTGGGATGGTGTGGGACAGCATGGGCGGGACGCTGAGTGTGTGGCCCTTCAGCGTCACCACCAGCCCGTGTCCCAGCAGTGCTGGCTTCTCCCACACGATGGAGCAAAGCGCCCAGGCATCTCCTGTGCCCGTAGCCCGTGGCCCCACTGAGGGCATCTGCCCCCCCCTTTGCTGCTTACCCCCAAAACCAGAGCAGAGTCACTGGCTCGGTGTTACCCCGAGGCTTCAGGCTGCGAGTGAGGGAGAACCAACACAAGCATGGGGATCTCCAGGCTGCTTTATTGGGGGCTCAGAGCTGGGGGCTCCACAGTCAGAGGGGCTGCTGTGAAGCAGGAGCATGTTCAGGGCTCCCCACTTATCCAGCTTACCACGAGGGAAACATCTTGGAACACTTACATCTTGGAACCAGCCTTAGCACCGAGGGGAAGACCCTCTGAGTCTGCAGAGCAGGGACCATGCCAGCCAGCCCCACTCCCTCCATGCACCCCAAAACCATCCCCATTTCAGAAAATAGGGACCTGCACTGTCTGTAGTTCCCCCAAAGTGGGAAGCAGCCAGACAGCACTGCTGGAGATGTGTTAGAAAAGCATTTTCCTACGTGCCATTAGGATGAAGCAGGTTGGACAGCCAGGCTGCTGGGGGGGGTCAGTGTTATAAATAATTGTTGTTCACCCCATCTCCATTGCCAGGGCTCCTCGTGGGGCTGCAGCCCTAGAACCAGCTGACTTGGTTGGATTTGACTCCACTGAAGCACATGTTGTTGGAGCAGCCCCCGCCGTAGCTGGGGGGGCAGGCTGAGCACGGCCGCCCCACCTTGTAGGGCGCTTCCCCCAGCCAGTTACCCCTAAAAGAGAGGAGGGCATCACCTCTGAGCATCATCAGCCCACTGCTGACACTGCTGAGGGGAGGGAGGATGGCACGGGGGCCTCTCCCCAGTCACTTACTTGATGGCATAGTTGCAGACCAGGAGGATGGCATGGCGCCACGTGCTGCCCCACACCCGCACGATGGCACAGGTGCCCAGGGCACAGCCCAGGCGGCTCGAGGTTGCCCACACCATCTGTGCCAGGACAGAGAACAGACACTGTTGTGTCCATGTACCCAGACATCTCACAGTGATAGCCCCAGGATGCCAGCACAGGGCTCTGTTCCCCCAGGGAATTGCATCCCAGCTGCCCCAATAGCTTTGGCTGGATGCTGCCCCATCACAGGCAGTGCTTTTTTATCAGAGGATGACTTTTTACTCTCCCTCTCCTATCTGAACCTGCCTTGCCAAGCTCACATCCATGAGCAGCAGAGTCTGGGTCACTGCTCCAATTTACCCAAATTAGCTCCTAAACCTCACACTGAATCATGGCCAGCAGCTTACCCTGCACACAGGGAGGTCGAGCAAAGGCTAAAGCTCCTCCTAAAGCCTCTCCAGGTTAAATCTCTTCCATAAAAAGTGTATATTGCCCTTTTGCAACCGAGAGCATCTCTGAGTATCCTCATGGATGAGCCACATGAGGATGCAGATGCTCAGGTAAGGGTTGGAGCCATGAAGAAGAGGTAATTAGGAGTTGGCACAGCTCTGCAGCCAGGCAGAGGAACAGAGGAGTTTTCCATCTTGTGCTGGCCAGGCTGTGTGACAATGTGCCAGGGGATGAAGGGGCTGCATTCCCAGGGAGCCAGAAACAGCTGGGTGCTATGAAGCTGTTCCATCACAGAGAAGAAGATTCATGCTTGGCAAAAGTACAAAGCAGCTTTTTTTTTTCTCTTCACCACCTTTAAGTTACCAGACGTGCAGTGAGGAGAGAAAGGCCAAAGAGGGGAAAAAAAGCTTTTAAAAAATTGAAAGCTCCTTGTCAACTGGTCAGAAAGTCCCAGCTGCTCCTCCAGTTGGTTGTAAACCCATGGGACCTTCCTGCAACAGCCCAAATGCTGGAAAAACACAGGGTGGGAGGGCATTGCTGGTATTACTGTGTCCAGCAGACAGACTGCCAGCTGCCAGGGTTTGACCTGCCTGATCTGAAGCTGGAGCTGCCAGGGTTTGACCCTGCATCCCAGCTGCTGCTGGCAGAAGAGCTGTGAGCTGCACAAGGCCCCCTCTGCACCTGGAGCCCGGGGGCTGCAGTGCTCACCTGTGTGTAGTGGCTGCAGACGGAGCCGCTGCACGTGGAGGGGCAGCGGGGGTTGCACTCCCGGGGCTGGGGGAAGGAGTAGTGCTGCTTCTCCTGGTGCCAGGATTTCACCATGTCCAGCACAGAGCGGTACCTGCAACGGTGCTACAGCTAAGGTGGATCTCCTCCACATCAGGGGTCATGGGAGAAGGAAAGGAAGGGAAAGATCCACAGTGAGGAAGTGGAGGAGAGAAATTATTTGGGGCCAGGGCTCATTTGGAACAAGCATTCCTGGGAAAAAGGAGGTAGTGACAGCCTTGTGCCAAGCCCACTTGTGCTCAAGGCTGGAAAACCAGAGACACCTGAGCGCTCAGCCACGTGGAGGAGATCCAGGACCCATATCCCTCTGGTCTGGGTGCCTGGTAGAGAGGGGAATAATGGCAAACTTCCCAAATGAGCAGCAGGCACCTCTGCTTTCCTGTATTTACCCTTCTGCAAGAGAAGGGTAGGAGAAGCTCTCCAGGAGAAGGCGAGCTGGGCCCTCCTCCTCCTCCAGCCCGGGGTCCTTGACATGCCTCTCAGCTCTGTCTCACTACCTGCAATGCCAGCTCAGAGCCCCTCTGCTCCTTGGCTGAGGGGCTGCAGCTGCTCCTCCTGCAGCCCCGTGGGGTGTGGGGGTTTCCCAGGAGCTCCCTGTGCCTGCAGGGCACTCACCTGCCCGACTGGATGGAGAGGTTCTGTCCCACATATTTCATCAGCTCGGGGGGGCCGTGGTCCCACAGGCAGCGCGCAGCCCACGCCTCCGCTGCCCTGGCCAAACGCTCATCCCACACCTGGCCAGGGGAAGGGAAAGGGCAGGCAGGAGTTTTGGATTCCCAGAGGAGGGAAGAGCTCCCTTGTGCTGTGTGGGCTTTCTGAGCACGCCTGGGTGTCCAAAAAAATAGGACTCATGCATCAGGCTAGAAAACACCCAGGGGAGGGAAGCACAGCAGCATGTCCAGGAGCCATGGGCCTCCCCAGCTGCTGCCACAGCTCTGGACACACAGGATAGCAGAGCAGGGATGCCCTGCAGTGCTGCAAGCCCTGTGTGTGTGGTTCCCTCCAGGAATGAGCTCCTGCACAAGGTGGAGTTGAGCACAGGGGTGAAACCCTGCAGCCTCACAGCTGTCCCAGCCCTCAGTGCAGCCCTGGACACAGCTGGTTCCTTCATGCATTATTTAAAGCTCCCTCACCCATCCTGAACGCCTCTGGGGAGATGCCTGTGTGAGTTACTTTGGAAGGCAGGAATTTAGGCCAAGCAAGAAGCAGTGCAGGATGCTTCTGGACATGTCTGACCTGCTCTGGTACCCAGCAAGCTGGGCTGCTCTGTGCTTCTCCAAACCACATCCAGGGACCACCCAGGTGATCCCTCAGAGCTGGCCCCCTTCCTGGGAGCAGAGCAGCATGTGGCACCTCCTGCCCTGAGGTCCTGTCCTGTGTAAGCTGGAAATAGCTCCTCTTGGAGGACCTTTAGGGCTGGGTTAGGAGCTCCAGGCAGGGAGGACAGAACCAGGAGAAAGTTCTGCCCAGGGTGACCCTCATCTGGAATTGCCCAGCCTGTCAAGGCTGTGCATCCCTTCCTTGACTCACTCCTGAACATTTATTCTTCTGGGAGCTGGCACCACTTGGAACAATCAAAAGGGACCCTGGAGATTGTGATGGGATCATCCCTCTCAGATGCAATTGGGGAGAGGCTTCTGCGTCAGCTTTGGGTTGGGACCTGAGCTTTTCCTGCTCGTAGCCACCTCCCAGATGTCCCAGACACAGGCCCAGAGATCCTAAATCTGCCCTCATGGGGAAACATCTCTGTGCTGGGGCTCCATCCCTCCTGCACAGAGGCTGCATGGGACCCAAAAAATCCCCCAGGACATGTGTTCAGCCAGGAATCTGGCCAACACCCTGACATCCCTCCTTGGCTAGGGCTCCCACATCAGAAGTGAGCCCTTGATCCCACCAGAGCTGAGGACCGCCCTGCCACAGCCCAACTCACCATGTATTCCATATTGGCAGCGGGTGGAGACACCTGTGCCCGCACTTGGTTGTGGTAGTCCAGGATCACACCCATGTCCTGGGGGGACAGGAATCTCTTCCGCCGGCCCCGCGGGACCCCCTCGGCCCGGAGCAGCCCCGCGGCCGCGCCCGCGGGCGGGGACAGCAGCTCGGTGGCGTTGGGCAGCAGCAGGGAGCTGGACAGCTGTGTCACCCAGCAGCCCAGGGCCGTGAGGTACAGGTGCAGCTGGAGCATGGCCATGCCAGCCCGCCCTCGCTGGGAACAGCCGGTGGAGTTCTGCTCCTGCACGGGGGTAAGCAAGGACAAGGGGGATTGCTGGTCCCTGCTGCTGGTGTGCAGATCTAGGAGAGAAAACAGCACAGGCACCACTCAGGGTTGCAAACACCATGCCAGCACCATTGCCCAAAATAAGGTGGAAACAAATTTTCTTTTCACCTATTGATAATAGTAGTTTTACCCTATTAAAAATAGTAATATTTAAAATTTATCTCTTTAATAACATTATTTATCAGAGCAAACTCCCCAGGACTGTCAGGGATATGCCTGGGGAATTGATTTTCTTGTTTGTTTTTTAAAAAGATAAAATCAGTAGTAAGTCTCCCCCATTTTTTCACTTATGGCACATACCTGTGGCACAGGGGTTAGTTAGGAGTATGTTGAGAGTTACTGCAGCCGCCTGCCCTGTAACTTCCCAGGAGTTTGGTTTGTTGAATAAATCCCCAGCACAAACAGAAACCTCACACAGATAAAGAAACTCACGGCAAGACTTTAAAGCATTGTTGAGAAATCCTAACGATTTAGGTGGAAAAGAAAAATTGGCGCTGCAAAAGCCGAGTATTTTATTAAAAAGAGAAAAGAAGGGAAAACGCTGGAATACCCCCTCATCCGTCAGCCGATGCACCTCCTAGCATCGCGGAGCAGAGGGAGGATGTTCCCCGAGCACGTACCGTGAGCGCTGCGCTGGGAGCGGCGGAGCCCGGCGGGACGGAGCTGCGGGATGGAGCTGCGGGGCAGATGCGGGAGAACCGGCTCAGCCCCGGCGGGCAGCCCGCTGCGGCCAGTGACGCACAAGCAGCATCTTAACTCTTCCCCCGGGAAACGTGCTGAAGTTCGGAAAGAGCCCTGGCAGCAGATTTATAGGCTGGTGAGTGCCTCCGCGCACACGGGCTCACGCAGGCACAGGAGCCCCGCACGGCGCCGGGGGGAGCGGGCACAGCACGGCTCGGTGGATGCCTCGGCGGGCGGAGGGGCTGCTCCTCGCTGCTGCCTCGGGGTTTGTTCAGGCTACCCACAGGGACAGATTCCCAAAGTCATCTCTTTGCTGCTCCTTCCCTATCTGGGATCTTGCTGGAAGCAGCGGGTAGAGAAGCGGACCCAGGTCGGTGGGGGATGCACAGGGGGTTTGCCCCGGTTAGGAAGCAGCAGGAGCCACAGGGTCACCCCACTTTGGTGCGAGCTTAGCAGATGGCAGAGATGTCCCTGGTGGCCACACACGGCCCTGGGTCAGCAGCTCTCCCCGTTATAGATGAAGCCACTTGCCGGGCTGGGCGTCGCCACCTGTGTGTAACCCAAGGGCTGGGACTTGTCACAGCCACAGGGACTCTGCCCATGGCCCCAGCACTGACCTGAGCTGGCAGTGCCCAGCCAGGGTTATCTCAGGGGAAAGCAGGGCCGTGCTCCCTCCATGGTGTCCATGTGTCTGTCCCCAGGCAGGGGAAATGGCTGTAACATCTGAAAGCCATATCCTGCAGCATCAAGTGTGTTTCCTTACAACATCCCACACAGTCACGATGCCAGGGGACAGCTGAGTTATTGCAGGTCACAGAGACACCTGGCCAGCCGGAGGGGCTGCTTGCAATGCCTGTCACATCTTCCTCCCACCGTGCTCAGAGCCAACACAGGTGGCCATGAGTGACCTGCAGCTCCTGCCATCCCCCCATGCTGCAGTGCCTCAGGTAGGCAAGGTGCTGGTCCCCCTGTGCCTCACCAGCTTTGGGTTCACCACAGGCAGCTTTGGAGCCAGGTTCTGGCACTACAGTTGCATCAAGAGGAGCACCAAGGCCAAACTCCCTCTCCTGAGCTGGCAAGGGGCACAGAGATGGAGTGCAGGGAGGAGAAGGCAGTCCCACAGCAGCAGCAGGTCACTGCTTCTCATGCCCACAGCTCTGACTGACAAGAACTGAGGATCCCAGACCCATAAGCCCTGCCTGTGCAGGGACTGACAGCATGTCCCAGAGCCTGGCTGCCTGCACCCAGCTGCCCCAGAGACCTGCTGTGCAGCAGGAGCTGATCTGGAGCTCAGTGCAGAACTGAGCATGGAGCAGGAGTAACGCCCAGGTGATGAGCTGATGTGCTGTACCAATACAGCCTCACCCTGCTGGGAGCCTCCAGCAAAAGAGACCCCTTTGTACATTTTTCCTGGCATTGTCTCTCTCATAAAGCAATTCAAGCTGCTGTGTGCCAGAGGGGTGTTTCCATCCATTCCCCACCCAGCAGGTGGGATGATGGTTGTGTCAGTGAGGAGACAGGGAAAAATGCAGCTGGGGCGTCTCTGGCTGTGCTGTAGGAAGGGATCCCTTGGTGCAGAGAGCAGCAGCACCCTATGAACCAGCCGGGCTGGGTATCCTGTGGGGAGCTGTGCTGTGCTGTGCTGCGGATGGCACTGGGAATGCCAGGGTGCCAGGGTGGCTCCCATAGCCCTCTGAATTTCCAGATTGCCTGTTCTAGGGTCTAACTAGCATCAGCGTCACCCTCCAGCACCAGATCACCCCAAAACACCAGTCACCTGTCCGCAGGTGCTGGGCAAAGTGCCATCCCCAGTTTGCCAGCCCTGCAGACACCCCTGTTTCATGTTCATCTATGGAGACAACTGTGCCAGCTCCAGGGACCAGCAGCAGGACAGAGCTTTGTGCTTCACCGGGGGGCAGGCACTGGTGCTGCCTCCCTCCACTCAAACCCAGATATCAAATCTCTCATTAGCGAGGCTGGTAAATGCAGTTTCATTCCCAGCAGATTAAAAAGGCAGATGGGGACATGCAGCAGTGATCTTAACTGGGCAGACTGGGAAGTGCGGCTGCTGCCAAGTGCACACTGAGGTAAGGACTTTGGGGCTGTGTTGTGGAGAGGGTGGTTTTTAATGATGTATTATTTCACAGAAGACAGAGCCCTGAGCAGCAAATGCTCATCCAACATTGTGAACTGCAAAGCTTTTAATTTGGGATTTTTTGGGGGGTTTTTGTCTCCCTGGGGGCTTGGCGAGATTGAACCCACTGCAGCTTCCTGTGCCACGCAGCAGCTGAGGCAAGGCGAGGGTTTTGTCTTGGGTGCAGATTGAAAGCACTGCTTAATCAGCACTCCACGAGACAATCCAAATTCCAGGAACTGGAAGGGGTTTGTGTCCCTGCCAGGCGTAATATCCTGCAGCCCAGACTGGCCCGGCTGCCAAAGCACACGGTATCTGCAGCGAGGACCTCGCTGGGAGCCAAGAAGCACATGCATTCAGCTGGATACAGCCACAGCAGGCAAATTCCCTTTTTAATGAGCATCAGGGGGAACAAAAAAGATAAATCACTGCGTTCAAGCACTCTCCTGGCAGAGACACACTCTGATGCTTTTATGACCAACAGACAGCAGCTTGCTCCAGAATAAGACATAATGGGACTTGCAGGATTTCTCTGTCATGTTTATTTCTCCCATCTGTTGGCTTTGGGCATCACCCATCACCCACATTCCAAGGTGGCAGACGGTGACATGAGCCCATACAGGACTGAGCAGGGCTTTGCCCTTTGCTGACGTCAGGATCTGCTGTGCTCCCTGAGCCTCCTGATGCCTGGAGCAGGTTGATGTGGATTTCCATAGCAGGAGCCTTCTCCTTATTGGGGTAAAATACAATGAAATCAGGGTCCTGTCTGAACAAAACTTTCCCTAGGCAATGCACAAACTCTGTTGCTCGAGTAAAATATTCCCCTCATATCAACTGACAGAAAGGCTCATTTTCCATCTTTGCTGAAAGATGTTCCTTTTCCCCAGTCCCACCTCAAACATCAAGAGCACCAGATACCTTGGTGCCCACCCTGACAGAGAAGGAAAGTGGGGCTTTTGGTGAATTTTTTTTCATTTCTGTAGCCCTGCAGAGGTCCAGCATATCCAGAGCTTGGTTCCTCCTAACACATCATCAAGGGAGATCTTCCTTCTGACTCGGAGCTTGGAAGATTTGATCTCCACGTCTTGTGACTGGAGTAAGCCCAGGCTGGGCTCCTGTATATTCTTTTGGGATCTTCCAGGAGTGAAACACCTGTTGAGGTGTAACAAAACTGAGATCAGTCCTGAAGTCTGACGACTCCAAAGTCATCCTTCTTCCTATTTAGGAGTTTTTTGTAAATGCTGAATCCTTTACTGAGCTAAGCTGAACCTTGGAGGAAGATCTACTGTCAGACCTCACACTGAAGAGGTGACCATCAGCAGGGTCAGGAGCTCTCCTGGAGCCTTTCATTCAATGCCCAGCACATCCCTCTGCTTCAGGTGTAATATCCTCTTATAACCCACAGCTCCTGCTTGTGCATTTGCTAAAGTGAGGAAAAAACCTTTCCCATTTTATATATAGTGATGGTGTAGAGAGGCATCAGGTGAGAGTGTGGGCAGGAGCCTGCACGTGTGGGCTCACCACCCTGGCAGAGAGCAGCCTTGCCCTCAGTCTGGCTCCTGACCCCTCTCCAAAAGTGACCTGGGCACTACAATTATCTCCTTTTAGTGGTGCAGCTGGCCAGGACTAATGCTTTTGAGTCCTGAAGTAAAAACCACTTGTTTTGGGGTATTAACTAAGGTGTCCCTCAAGGCTGACATGATCCTCCATGAGCTCCCTGCTGAAGAGGTGGGTGCCAGCCCTCCACCTCTCCCCACAACACCTGTGGCACTGTCAGAGCTGTGGCCCCACCATCAGCCTGTGAGGAAACTCTGATGGCCAATGGCTCCAGCCAGCACCAAGATATATTTGGAACCTTTGAAAGGTGAGAAATTTTTCCACTAGCTCTAGAAATAAACATCTCTGAAGTCAAGCTCTGTGGACAGTAGTTGCTTGCAAAGGTATTTTTTTACAGTAACTGGGCTAAGTTTAGAAATTCACTTAAATAACACGGAAGCTCCTCTCAGCACAATTTGGAAGATAGTTAATTTGCTGCTTGCTAACAAATGGTTGTTTAGCCTGGTGTAGTGGGTGTGTGATGGTCTCACTGCACACTGCCAAGGTGAGAAGGAACTCTCAGCTCTGTGGGAAAGGGACCCATCACACCCTGAGTCAGCTGAGACCAAAAAACACCCAAACCTTGGAGCTGAACATCAGCTGTGAGCTCCTCACCAGCTGCAACCAGGCTGGCTCCTGAGACCCCCTGCCCCACAGCAGCGCTGTGCTCACCCCTATGCCCACTGCACACCCACAGCTGCCCCAGCAGGTGCAGCCCACATCCAGCTGTGCCCACAGACCCGTGCCAGAACCAACAGCCCTGGGAACACGGTGCTGGTGGGGTTTGTGCTCTGCTGCCGCCAGATATGTGCATGATGGTTTTCCAAGCTCACTGGTGGGAAACCCATTGCTCACACCCAGGAGTCCTGATGGGAATTTCCCACCTCACCAGCCTGCTCTAAATTCATCATCTGGGGTGAGCTGAGATCATGTCTTTCCTCATCATCTGACACAGCCACTGTGTAGTGGTTGGGAGTGGTCCAGCAAAGGGCTGGATCAGCTGCTGGATGGGGGCTAGTGCATCCCAGCCCCGAAAGGCCAGACCCAGGGAAGTGAACTCAGGACACCCTGGCAGCCTCACCATGTAATTTTCTTGCTTGGACGGGGGTGTGCCACAGCTTGACTGCAGCCCCTGTGTATTCACTCCATTCCCTTTTTTTCCAAAACCAAAATTAAGATAGAAACTGAGTACCTGGCGCTGGTTCACAGGCAGGTTTTTTGTGGCTGCACAGGGAGGTCTTGTTCCCTTTGCTCCTCTTCTTGGGGTGGCCCCACTGCTCACAGGCCCATAACAGGAGCACCAGCAAACACCCTCTGACCATCCCACCACTGCAAGGTTCCTTGTCTCCAGCTGAAAAAGGTTTTTCCTTTAGAAAAACGCTGCCAGTGTTTGTTTGTTTAGCTCAGATTAAATGGCTGGGGCTAAGAGAGATGCTGCTTTTCGTCCCTGCCTCTGAAGGAAGAGGGCGATGTTTGCAGTGTTTTTTCGTGCCATGGGATGTTGGGATGGGTGTAAATTCTCCCCAGAGTCTGCCTGGGGCAGGGAGGTGGAGATGCAGCTTAGGTGGGTGATGATTGTCCAAAGCTTGGAGGGGTTTAAAAGGAGGCTCTGGTGAGTGCAGGAAGGTGGTGCAGAAGGAAAGACAGAGCACAGGAACTCTCAGGGACATCCAGAGGTGATTCAGGGGCTTTGGGCAGGAAGGATGTGCCCCCAGAGGCTCTGGATATGTTAACATTTCTGCACAAGGCTGGGAAACAGGAACAGTTCAGCTCCCCCCAGCAGTGCTGAAGCAGAGTGAGCACCTCACAGGTGACACGGGCATGAAATCCAGAAGTTTTCCATTTCCAGAGTGACACTGAGCAAATCACTTTCCATACATATTTCTCTGCTTATACTTTTCCATCTTGATTGATCACGCCTACCAGAGGGCTCTGAGGGGTTCCTGTGGCCTGTCCTGCATCAGAGCCAGTCCTGCCCCTCCAGGTGAGCAGGGCAGGACTGTGCAGGATTTCTGCAATATCTGCCAGATCCTGGCATGGAAGCTGAAAGGAGCCTTTGCTCACTTTTAAAATCTCTTGCTGTACCTGCACATCTTGGGGCTTCCTGAATTCTGCCTACAGAAAGTGAGAAGTTTGATGGACATTTTGTATTTCCCCTGCACTCTCCCATAAAGATGTATTGTGAATTTTTGCCAAGAAATCTCCTTTTTCTCATGGGACTTCCAAGCTTTCCCACGTCCAGATGGCTGGATCCAAGCCACCAGATTTCTCTCTGCCTAGACATGAAATTTCTCAGGTACAACCACGGAAGCTCAGAAGTTTGCAAGAACCACTTTTCTCAAAGCTGGAAAAAATCTGGGAAAGCAGAAATTGAGACTTTTGGGACGCTCTGAAAAATGGGAGAGATTATCTCTACATCTCTCTCCGAAGGGAGACACACTTCTCAGGGTCTTTCCTCCCTGACCAAAGGACATGCTGACATGTGAGTCCCAGAAAATCCTGGAAGTGGGACACCTCATCTGAAGATGAGAGCTCTGAGGCTGGTGTGAGTGCTGGCGGCTCCACTGTCCCTGTGTCCAGCCTTAGAAGGACAGAAGGAGCAGAATGGGGGGTTCCTGCGGCTCACTGGCATCTCTGTCCATCACTCAGGCTGTGTCCACACTGTGACACAGAGGCCTGACCGTGGCTTGTGGTGACACACCCACGTTGGTCTGACCTTGCCTGTGAGCCACGAGCAATGGGGAGGAAAGAGCAGCAGAGCTGGGCATACCCCAGTGCCAGGATGGTGTGCCTAATACTTATTTGATATATAAAAATATTTTGATCAAAAATATATGCATCAAAAATATTTTTATATATAAAAATATTTTGATCTTTGGATGTAACCACCAAACATGCTGCAAACTCCCCACAGCTCAGATCATACCCTTCCTATTCACACTTGAGGAGAGCTGGGGGGAAAATGTGTTACCTGCAGAGGTTTTGAGGACCAGGACTGATGACGTTCATGCTGTCTTGATGCCCCTCCTGTGCTTCCCCTGCCCTGAAAGCAGGGGAGGTGAGAGCTCTCACCTCACTGTGTCAGTACAGTGCCCCAGGCACGGGGAGGGGGCACCCCC